CTAGAAATGTTGGGGAGAAAAAAACGTTTAGAAAATTAATCTGGTTAATGGTAAAAAATGTTCATGGTTTGATTTCAAACTCCAGACAGCCAAAAATTAAGCTTTTCTGATAAGCCAAAAATAATTATTTATTTTATAAAAATAATCCGGTAAAAGGAACCCATTACCTCTTGAACTCGTATGCAGGGTGGCGAATCAGCTAATTTCAACTGTGATTGCTCTGAGTTGGCCTATCTCATGTGCGCGAGCCCACTTCTCCTCCAAGCCCATTTTACTAGCCCACTTCATTCCTTAGTATTTATATACTAGGAGAGTCCTTCATTTAGTCAATGTGGAACTTTTGAAACACACATACTTTTGACACACACACTACAATCCCCCATATGTGTCAAAAGAATCTTTATTCATTTGAGTTATTCACACAAAAGATAATCACTTTGAATTTGGTGTCTGTCAACTTGAACCAAACCTAGATTAATAAAGTTAGCACATAGAAAATTTGGTGTAACTTTGTTATTGAACCAACAAATCTTGAGCGTGTACTGGAGGTCTTATTAATCAAATTATACCCCTACAGTCTCTGTTGTTGATGACGGTTTTGCACGTTATCGGCTATACGTGTGCCTGGTTTTAACAAATGCTCTAGAGATTTCACCATGATCTCATAGGAGCGGCCCCACTCTACATTTGTATAGGTATTTTCATCAAGTGTATCTGCAATGAATACACCATCCATAAGGACTATGAAAACATTAAGAGCTTTCGCTCAGCCTCCGTTCAATGCATTCTAGCACTTTCTCAAGCCATAGAAAGGGACAAAAATTCAGTGCTAGCAGAACTAACAAGTGACTTGTTCTTACCTATTAAACCTTCTTCATGGGATCTCCAATAAAAAAGGTTAGGTTGCCATCACTGTTAATTTCAAACAAGCTTAAGTTCCATTCCCCTTGACATTTCAATAATAAATTTCTTCCCTAGGGGCTTAGTTAACGGATCCACCAGATTTAGCTTTGATCTTACATAATCGATTGAGATGACCCCATCTTTGAGTAGCTGCCTTATAATATTATGTCTTAATTGAATATGTCTACTTTTGCCATTGAAGGTCTTATTTTTAGCCGTTGCTATTGCAGACTAGCTATCACAATGTAAAGACATTGATGGTGTGGGATTTTCACCTATTGGAATACTCACTAAGAAGTTTTTCAACCACTTAGCCTCAGTTCCAGCTAGCTCCATGGCAATAAACTCAGAATCCCTTGAGGATTTTGTGTTGATTGTCTATTTTGTAGACTTTTAGGTTATTGCACCACTACTAAGAGTGAATATATAACCACTAGTAGATTTTGTCTCTTCTGAATCCGAAATCCAGTTAGCATCACTGTATCCTTCCAATACAGCAGAAAATCCACTATACAATATACCATAATTTATGGTACCTCTCAAATATCTTAAGATTCTCACCAGAGCCTCCCAGTGTTTATTGCCTGGACAGTGGATATATCTGCTCAATCTGCCTACAGCATAAGCTATATCAAGCCTAGTAAAATTCATCAAATGCAACAGACTCCCAATAATCTATGCATACTCAGATTGAGCAACTAGGTCACTCTTGTGCTTTTTTAATTGCACACTCGAATCATAACGAGTACTCAGAGGAACATCTTCAAAATGTCCAAATTTTCTGAGAATTTTCTTAACATAATGTTCTTGGAAAAGCAAAATCCCATTTTCATTCCTTATGATTTTTGCACCCAAGATTACCTTGGCTTCACCCATATCTTTCATATCAAAATTTGAAGAAAGAAACTTCTTTTATTTCATTAACAACACACATACTAGAGCCAAAAATTAGCATGCCATCCAAAGATTTGACAAGTTTACAAACTTTATTTTCTTGCCCAGGAATCACACATCCCTTAGGCTGTACCATGTAAATTTCTTCTTCCAAATCACCATTTAAAAATGCAGTTTTAACATCCATTTGGTGAACAAAAAGTTTGTAAGTTGAAGCTAAAGAAATAAGAACTCTTATAGAAGAAATTCTAGTCATAAGAGAAAATGTGTCAAAATAATCTATATTTTCCTTTTGAGTAAAACCCTTGGCCACAAGCCTTACTTTATATTTATCAATTGAACTATCTAGAAATTTTTTTTTTCTTAAAAATTCATTTACATCCAATAGCCTTAGCTCTTTGAGGTAAATATGTTAAAACCCAAATTTTATTTTTCCTTAAAGAATTAATTTCAATTTCAATTGCTTCTTTCCAAAATTTGGTATCACGAGAAGAAATAGCTTCATAAAAATTTAACGGTTCATCTTGCACTAAATAAGTGTAAAAATCATCTCCAAAACTTGTTTCTTTTCTTTGCCTTTTACTTCTCCTTAAAACAAAATCCTCATTTAAATTTTGTTCAAACTCTAAATTCTCAACAGGTTTAGAAATATGCTCAATTTTCAAGGGAAAAATATGTTCAAAAAATTCAGCATTCTTAATCTCTACAATTGTGTTTTAGTCTAAAATATCACTTTTTAAAACTAAAAAGCGATAAGCTGCACTTTGTTCAGCATACCCAATAAACATACAATCAGAAGTTTTAAAACCAATTTTCTTCTTTTTAAGATCAGGTAATAACACTCTTGGAAGTTGTTGAACGCGATCTCTTAATTAATAATATTCCTAAAAGCTTAATAAATGATAAAGTACAATGGCGTCTTGCAACCCATATAGTCGACCCCACCTAATGGGATAAAGGCTTGTTGTTGTTGTTGTAAGATCAGGTAATAAAACTTTTGCAAGACACCCCCACACTTTTAAATATTTTAAATTTGGGGTGAACTCTTTTCATAACTCATAAGGTGTTTTCTTTATTTTCTTATGAGGTATCCTATTTTGTAAAAAACATGCAAAAAAAATACTTCACCCCACAAGTTATCAAGCATAAAAAAACTCACAAGCAAAGCATTCATCATTTCTTTTAATATTCTATTTTTCCTTTCTGTAACACCATTAGACTTGGGAGAATAAGGAGGTGTTATCTCATGTATAATTCCTTCTTTTTCACAAAAATCATTTAATAAAACATATTCTCTACCTCTATTAGATCTAACCCTTTTAATCCTTTTATTTAACTAATTCTCAACCTTTGCTTTATATAAATTTTCTTTTTCAAAAGCCTCATCTTTGTTTCTTAACAAGTATATCTTAGTATATCTTGAAAAATCATCAATAAAAGTGATAGAATATTTTTTACCACCTCTAGTCATGGTTTGTTTTAAATCACCTAAATCAGTGTGAATTAAAGACAGCAATTCAGATTCTCTTTGACTAAAAAAGTGAGGTTTTTTTACTTTGTTTGGTTTCTGCATATACTTCACATTTTTCAAAACCATTGTTTTTAATTTCAGAAAGTAGTCCAAGTTGTTGCATCCTATTTATATAACCTTTACTAGCGTGATCTAGCCTAGCATGCCACAAATCAAAGGAATCAACCATATAAATAGGCATATACTTAGAAGATTCAGTCTTATTCATTTCATCAACATTTAATACAAACAGTCCTAGATTACAATACCCTTTACCCATAAATACATTATTTTTTATCATTACAATCTTATCAGATTCAAATGACACTTTAACCCCAGCTTTCCCTAAAAGAGCAATTGACACTTAATTTGCTCTAACTTCAGGCACATGCAGAACATCATTCAGAGCTAGAGTCTTTCCTGATGTGAGCTTTAAGACCACTTTCTCTTTTCCTTAAACTTTGGCAGTTTGGTAATCAGTAAGGTAAACATGGTCTTCCCTTTCCTTTACAGGATCATAGAAGGTAAACATCTCTTGGCTAGCACATATGTGCCTGGCAGCCTCGAAGTCTACCACCCATTTCTTCACATTAGAAATCAAGAGAGCTTGTGACACCACTGCAGCAATTATGTCATCATCACTGTCACCATCTCATTATACCAAATTTACATTTGGTTTCCGAGGCTTATCACGGTTCGCTCTCTTCCTACACTGTGTTGCATAGTGTCCTAGTTTATCATGGACAAAACAGTCTCCTTTCTTCTTGAAAGAGGGGTTAGAAGCATTGGGTTTGTAATCAGATTTCCTATTCTTTTTGTCTTTGGTTTTAGGGTCATACCTCTTGTTGTAAGGCTTTGTCTCCATCAGGTTGGCTTTGGATGTCATCTCTCTGGTTCGAGCTGCATGTAATGCCTTGCAGTTGTGTCTTCGATGATAATGTGAGTGATTAGGTCAGTTAAGGATAGCTACTTCTATTTATGTTTCAGCTGCTGTTTGTAATCATTCTATGATTCTGCAGCTTCTCAATTAGGATCCCAGCAATGAACTCGTTTGGAAGGTTGATGTTTTCAGCACGAAGCTCCTCTAGCAGCTTATGATATTCATTGATTTACTCCTTCACATCTTTGTTCTCGGTCATCTCCCATTTGTAATAGTTTCCCACAATGAACTTTTGTTTGCTGGCATCCTCAGCAGTGTACTTTGTCACCAAGGACTCCCATATCTTACAAGCTTCCTTGTAGACACAGTAGACATTGAATAAATCATTAGATAAAGTGACAATGATAGTGTGTCAACATGCCTTATTTGCATGAGTCCATGCAACTCTTTGGGCTTAATCAGTATCAGCAGGAGGCTCAGATTCTGCAAGAGCAACGGCCACACCATGCATGTCAAGAATGGTGAAGACTCGTTCCTGCCAGCATTTGAAGTTCCTGCCGTCAAAGACTTCTATCTTCGATATGTCTAGGAACGGCCTTAGTAGGGGGACGGCAATAGCGACAGGGACGTACTAATCTCCAACCGAACCATCGAGTACACCTTCGGGGATGACATTTTTAGCATTGTTGGTTGCCATTTGATTGGATATTTCTTAAGATTGTTGGATGTACCAGTGGTACAGAGGTGAATAATGAGCTGCTTAAGTCATGCCCGGAAGGACACTGTCCTTAAAAACTATTCCGGCACACCGAGATGACAGATCGACAGTTCCCCAAGATTAAACAAGCACTTCCTGCAGAGCAAGGAAATAGAACGGTAGAAAATAAAATGAACTCAGATGAACAACATAGAGAAGGAGGAGAGAATTACCTTGAAAACTCAAGAGGCTGGCAAGTTGCTCTGTCTGCACCCATGGCTATATATAGCCCGAAGATGGAGACTTGAACATTGGCTCATAATCACCAGATTAAAGGCTTAGGTACATTGTTATAAATCACGTTTAAACACTTGTATGGAAACATTGGGGGGTTACGTAAACGTAAAACACATTTAACTTCTTGTCTGGAGATGCTGGGGAGACAAAAATGTTTAGAAAATTAATCTAGTTAATGGTCAAAAATGTTCATGGTTTGATTTCAAACTCCAGACAGCCAAAAACTGAGCTTTTTTAGTAAGCCAAAAATAATTATTTATTTTGTAAAAATAATCCGTTAAAAGGAACTCATTGCCTCTTGAACTCGCACACAGGGGGTCGAATCGGCTGATTTCAATTGCAATTGCCTTGAGTTGGCCTGTCTCATGTGCGCAAGCCCACTTCTCCTCTAAGCCTATTTTACTAGCCCACTTCATTCCTTAGTATTTATACACCAGAAGAGTCCTTCATTTAGTCAATGTGGGGCTTTTGACACACACACACTTTTGACACACATACTACAAGTACTTCTGGGAAACGTTTATTATGTTTTTTTCATATATGAGGGAAAATTGCATATGATGGCCAATATAGTATGCAATATATGGGTAGGAGTGTAAGAACAGGAAGTATAAGGGAAGGGTCAAGTTATGAAGAGTCGAGAAGAATGTTATCAATAATTATAGGGTGCGAAAACATTTAAAGTAAGATGAAGTTCACACTCAACATTGACAGAAGCATACTTATAGATCTTCTTGATGATGGTAGAGTAGAACATTTAATTAAGTATAATGAAGAAAGTGAACGTGTATATATAGTTTCAAATCAAAATGACACTACACAAGCATTAATGAATGACCCAACTGAGTACCAATATGTATAAGTTGTGTTAATTGTTTTTGTTAACATATATAATATTAAAATGTAATATTACTAATGTGCTTAGATTGTAATTTTCTACAAGGTTGATAATTTATTGGGAGGTTTAAAGGGAGGGTCTTTATCTCCACGTAGTTTGTGTCCTGAGATTGATGACTCACCATTAGAATATGCTGTATAAATAGTGTCTACATGTAATATCCTCCTCTTTCTAATCCCATAATTAAAACCAAATCCTAAATAATTAGGGAATGGGATTATAGTAATTATCAAAATACAAAGTTTTCAATGATTAGCAAAATGGGGACCCCAAGTTTACAAAACTAAAATCATTTTCAAAGTCTTGCAATTAGACAAACTGGAGTTTACAAATATGTGAAAGCATGAGACCATTACTTGTGTGAGTGTATTTATTTAAGAATTTGAAACAAGAGAATTTCTAAAAAATTTTGAGGCATGCACTACAGCTCGTTGAACATGCGCTGCAGTATGTTTGCCTCTATGACACGTGCTGCAACACAACTGCATGAATTTGATAGTAAATTCTGCTGTCAATATAGGGGTAACTTTCGATGCTCCCTAAATCTTCGTTCGACGTCTAAATAACGCGAACTAGGTGTCTACAGAAAGTTCTTTTCGAGCTCTAACTAATAGCATTAATGTCAAACTCAAACTCTTTCTAAAACAAAAATTGGATGTACTTTTCAAACTTATACTTTTATAACAAATTTTACAAAATTAAGTGTCCAAACCAAATACCATAGGCTAATAGTCACCAATACCAATTTGACCACATACAAATCATTAAGACTAACTTGTGTAATGCACCATATCTCATGAAATACTCACAGATCAAATTTTCACTACTCAACCCCTTAGACTCTAAAACATATAAGGGGGAGTTTACCACCATTTTCATCAAATTCTCCAAATCATCTCATAACATACTCTACTTTTACTTGCATTAGTATTTTGGCCCTATCACAACAACACATATTCATCAACTCACTCTCTAGGACCCAAAATACACTTACAAATTACATGATGCAAGTAAGGAAAAAATGAGAATTCCTAGTTGGCAATTGAAATTGTCATACACATATAAATACTCAAAATAAAGAGGCGTACTACAATCAAATCGTAATCCTAAGGCTCTGGGTATTTTCTTCTGTCCGCATCTCATGAGCTATTCCCTGTAATATTAAAGATAATGAGGTGAGTACAACTACTCAGTAAGCAAGGTCTGACTAACCCATACTAATACATGTCAATTAGTTTAAATGCAAGAGGCAATTAATGTCAATACTTTAACCATGCAAAACATTTGAGAATCTATGTTCACACTTCCAAGCACAATAGTACATACTTGGGAAATAAAACTTTTCAATAATCTTCACATCCCAGAAAGTTTGTCACACAATGTAATCACATATAATCAAGAGTAATTATTACTCAATTCATGAATATTCTCATTAGGGTCACAATACAGACAATCATGTGCCCTTATTCACTATATGCATAATCATACCTCCATTATATCCTCCTTATTCCTCTGACATGAAACCGTGGGCTATAACATAATGAGATAGTCTATATTACATGACTTCCCTAGCCTAAACACTTGTGGAACACAATTTTTCCTATTTCTCACGCTATGGGGTGTCATACACCCTAGACTAGCCTCCTTATCAAACCGGTGGATAGTTAGCTAGGTTCAAGTCCCTCATTAAACTAGTAGGACAATCCCTCATTGAACAAGTGGAACAATAAATATATAATCAATTTGGCAAACCATCACATGGATGGGGCCTTATCATGTGGATTTTATTATCTATTCTTTTTCCTAGCAAACTCCCGCTCTCAAAATCATGCAATGTACATTCATGCCATTATTCACACTTTATACAATTCATAGAACTTCACATTATCAATTTCATTGAACTTTATCATTACATAAATCATTAGACTTCTTAAATACATTTTCACAGAACTTCAAACCAAATAAGTCATTGAACTCCAATTTCACAATCATTGTACTTCATACTTTCAAAATCATTGAATTTCACTATTTTAAATATCATTGAACTTCTCATAAATAAAGATTCATGTTACTTCTCAAATCACAAAATCATTGAACTCCTAATAATTATAATACAAAAATCCACCAATATTATTCTCAAAGAACTTCACATCATAGGGCATAAAACTGACAAAATCAATCTAGTAGAATTTTTATCAAATTAAGCCATACTTGCATTTCATTTTAATTTACACATTTAAATGATCAATCATAATTCCATAAACTAATAAACACACAAAGGTAGAAGATAGAATTCCCTCGACTACCTCAAACCTTTGAGAGGTCAAAAGTTTCACCCCTCAATTACTCATACATAAAGCTTCCAAGAAGCTTGAATAGTGCCAATGTAGTTACTCTATAAGCATTTACCATGCAAAACATCAATATCCATATTTGAGCTATTTTTCACTAACACTTCACTATTTCTTAATACTCAAGATTTATTCTTAACTCATGTAAAAGTACCCATAAGGCTTCTTAGCTTCCTTTAACTCTCATTAATAACATTAAACTCTTAAATGGTCATTAATGAAACCACATTGTTCCCAGCCACTAAATTTATGAGAATTTCGGACATTTAATGTCCTCCAACTATCAATCATTATAAAATCATAAATACCAAGTTTACTTAGCTCAATCTACTCCTATTAACTCTATTTAAGTCAATGGGTTTAGACTTATAGCTTTTATGGACCGAAAATCACCATTATCAATCAAACCCTAACTTCTACCCTTAAGAAAATGGAAGAAGAGAGAAAGATTTAAGTAAGGAAAGCTTACCTTTGATGTTTAAGAGCTCCAAAATACTCTCAATACTCAGTTCTCCCAAGCCCTAGCACTGCTCTCTCACTGCTCTTTTGTTTCTTTGATTCTTCTCTTCTCTGATATATCAAATTCGTGTCTTATTTCAGCAGAAAAATGACCATGCATCGCAGCGAATGCACAATGCGCTATAACGCATGGCACAGAGAGCCTCTTCTAGGCATGTTGTCACGCATGCACCGCGACAGCTCATCCATAAGCCGTGACGCATGTCACATAATCACTTTTCTTAGAAATTCTTCCTCTTCCATTCCCGGGTGACTCGATTCTCCTTTGGACCCGCATTTAGAACTGAAATCTAGACCAAACACGCTTGTTAGGCCTCTCTAGCCATACACCTCATTAATATACTTAATTAGTCTATTTGGGCATAACTAATCTAATTTAAAATTGAGGATGTTACACTACACCAAAACCTAAAATGAATTCAATAAAATGGAAGAACTTTTTTGTAGGTAAGGGCCAAATGTTTACCGATGCAGTGGCCTTTAGAAAAACTTTGTACAAATATAGTATTGGGCACAAGTTTTTATACAAGTATAAGAAAAACAATACAAAAAAAGTCTTGTCAAGTGTAAGGTTGAGGGATGTCCATGGAATATTTTAGCATATTCAATAGGAAAGCATAGTGACTTTTTGAGGGTAATAAGATTCAATGGCGAGCACATCCACAATACACAAGACAAGCTTATTATTTCACACTGAGCAAAGGCAGATTTAACTCCACCAATCATTGTTGATGCTTTATGGTCTACTATAGACAAGAGTATGAATGAAATTAGAAGAGACTTGTATAAAGAGTATGGTGTGCGATTGACATACAGTCAAGCATATAAGGGAAGAGGAAAAGCATTATGAGATATACATGGTCTTTCATAAGATCCTTATATGATAATCCCTTGGATTTGTGATAGATTAAGGGAAACTAATCCAACGACAGTTGCGAAATGGGATGCCTCTGATAGTAATAGATTTGAGAAGTTATTCATTGCATATGGATATTGTATTCTGAATTTTCTAGAAGGTTGTCGACACATACTTTATATAGATGGATGGTTTTTAAGCGGTCCATATAAAGAAACATTGTTGGCAACTTCTGCTTATAACGTGAACAATGACTTATTTCCACTAGCATACGCTATTGTGAGTAGGGAAACATTTGAAGATTGGTCATGGTTTCTTGAAAATATCAAAGGCATTATAAGATCAGTTGAGATAACATTAATTTTTGATAGTCATAATGCCATTGTTGGGGCTATGCAAGTTATTTTTGGTGGCGAGAGACATGCATATTACTACTATTATGTGAAGAAAAATTTTAATGTTGAATATGTAAAAACTAATAAAGGTCAGAGGAGAATGTTAGGGAATGGCAAAGAGGCTACACTCAAATTGCTTGATGTTGTTGCTTATGCTAGGCATAAGGAAGAATTTAATATTGCCATGGGGAACCTTAGATTGTTCAGTCCACAATTGGCACAATGGGTTGAAGCTCAAGGGAATGTAGATCGATGGGTACAATGTAAATTTTCTTATAAACAATGGGATGACATTACAACAAATCTTACTGAATCATTTAACGCTTGGATTGTCAAGGAGTGAAAGCACAATGTTGATGTTTTAATACATGATGACACTACTGTTGAATAGCACCAAAATTAATAAAAACTAAATTTTACAGTAAAGCACAACCTAGGTCGTCTTTCTAAGAGTCAATAGAGTAACTATTTGAATTATGATTACAAAAAGCTAAAAAGTTAGGGGATTGTTTTTATAATAAAATTAATTAAAAAAATATAAATTTAAATTAAATAAATAAAGAAAATTCAATTGAGAAAATTATCAAGAACAAGCAGCGCAATCAATCACAACCCAATCACCTAAATTTAATCTTCCTCATCCACAAACTAAATTAATTTTATTTAACTTTATTATTCTGGTTTTATTATATATTTCTCAAATTATCATTCAAGAATTAAACAAAAAATTAAGTTTTAGATTAATTGAAATCTCTCTTAACCCACAACCTAACAACTGTTTTATGTTAGTCACACCAAAAACAAAGCATGAGTAATCACCCAAGCCAAGCCAAATTACTCTTAAGTTACTATATCAATCGATTATAGCAAGTAAAACCTCAAATAAAATTCATAACCCAAAAATTATGTAGTAAAACTACTCTAATCGCAATAACAATTAAAGCATAAAATTTAGAGGTTGAGAGAAGGAGAGTAAATTGAAATAAAGCTAGAATAAAGTCTTCTCTGAATGTCAAAGACTCTAATTAAAATTTAGTATCATAGTTTGTGATTGATCACACTAAGAAAATTAGCTATCCATAGAACTAAAAATCAAGAAACATGAGATGAGAAATTGACAAGCCATCGCTGGAGGAATTGAAGAAAAAGATGAACTGTGATCGCTACTACCTTGTTTTCTCTTCTCCATAAAAGGCGTTCTCCTACACTAAATAACCCAAAATAAATTCAAACAAAATTTTAAAGATTTGATTCTTGAATTGATATCCAAGTATGCCCATATTCTTCTTATCCAAAATATTCTCTATCAATATCTTTTAAATTGAATCTAAAAAAATATGCACAAATAAAATAAAATTAAATAGCACCTGTGCACAAATATTAAAGATATCATTTATATTTTAAAATAATAAATTTAGATAGTTAAAATTTCAAAACTGAATATTGGCTAATAAAATCAAATAATATCTAATTAAATTAATTAGCCTTAAATAAATATTTAAAAGTCTAAATTAAAAAGATAAAAATATATAAAATTATCATTTATCACATGAGCATCGAGAGAAATTAGCAAACAAGATGCTGGCATCTAAAATGACTATGATTAATTGAAAAAGATAGATAGAACCTAATATAAAGGCAAAACTGATGGAGCAAGTTGCGAGAGCTGAAAATTTACATGCACAGTTTTATGGAGAAAATTGAATCTCAGTACCAACCTTTTCTCCTAATGAAATAATTCATTTGACTGTAGATATTACAAACACATTGTTTGACATGGCAAATGAGTGAAATACCTTGTGCACATGCATGTGTAGCAATAAAGCTAGTTCATGGAAATGTGTATATATTTGTGGATGAATGCTATAAGTTGATATCACGGCAGAAAATTTATGCTTGCAGCATGAGGCCTATGTCCACACATGATATTCTATGCCCAGGTGCATTAACAATGACAAATATGTTAACCCAAACATTCTTGAAACCACCGAAGACTAGAAGGCCTCTAGCAAGACTTATGACGAAAAGACTTGAATCTCAATTTTAAAAGAAAAAGCTTTATCATTATGGAAGATGTCATAAGGCTGGTCATACTTTCAGGACCTACAAGAACCTTAATTCATGTTGATTAGTGCTTGGAAGATGTAAATTTTTTTTATTATGCAACTGATATTTTTTTTGTAACTGTACATGGTATTTTTTTGTAAATACATATGGTATTTTTTTGTAAATGCATCTAAAAGTATAGTATATCCATGCAGCCCATATAGTTATTTTTAGAATGGGTTGTCAATATTATGTAAATGCATGGATGATGATGCTTGTATAGCTGCTCTACATGTTGAAGTTGTAAATACTGATGTAAGCCCTGTTGACAATAAATGAATAAAAAGTTGTCATTCCCCTTTACCTAATTGTTAACAATAATTGTGCATTTGCCAAGGTCCTTGTCACTCGTGAAATAATGTAAGTTGTGAATGCCTCTCACCCAATTGTCATTTCCCATTTCCCAATTGCCATTCCCCCTTGCCCAATTGTTAACGATAATTGTCTAAATTAAAAAGGCCTTGTTATACCTGGAACATAGTAAGTTGTGAATGCATCTCATCCTGTTGTCATTCCCCCTACCCAACTTGTCATTCTCCCTTTCCCTGTTGTCATTCTCCTATTCACAATTCTTAATGATTGTTGTCCCAATTAAAAATTTCAACCACTGAATACCATGACATAAGCATTAAAAATAGTAATCACCATTGATATTAACATTTACAAAGTGTAATATAAAAAATTATAGCCTCTACAAAGGTGATGACACTATATAATCAAGTACAGCTTCGGTACATTTACAGAGCAAGAACATTTACAAAGTGTAATTTCACAATTAGCTCTACCCTGATTTGATCCTAAATGATATGCATAGCTTGAGTAGCCCTTCTATCATCTCTTCTTGTCCTTGTGGGATCCTGATAACATAGACATCACAGTGGGTTCCTTCTTATTATTGCAATGTTTGACAAGCCACCTCAATAATTCAACCTTCATATGTTAGAGGTCGTCCTGCAGGAATAAAACAGTCATATTAGAAATATCATGGGTTTATAGTTCACAAGTTATACCTAAGTAGTTCACAAGACATTCATACGTCTGAGTATTTTGGCATCGCATAATTGTCCTCATCCAGGTAAGTGTTGTCCCACGACTATAACCATGTGATGACGTGTATACCACACGAATGACTAAAATCAAAATTTTTGATAAAAGTACTAAATCAGACAACTTAATAATAGCCAAAGCAAATTCAAACATAAGCTAAATCCATCAACTAAATAACACTCAGGTATCATTCTGCACTCAAACTTTAGGCCAAACTACATCTGGCTTCATGTCATCGCTAAATAAATTTGGTTTAACAACAAGGAGCATTTGGTGGAAGCAGTCCTTTTGCACAAAAGTTAATAATGTCCATTAACAACTATACATAAGGAAATGACAAGTCAATGTGAAGTAATTGACAAGTGTAGACATATACAAGTATGTGCCAGCTTTTCCTTCACATCTACTTGTCCTGTTTTTTTCCTCTTGTTCCCAACATGCTTCTTGCCCTTTTTAATATTCTCATCTTCTTTCTTTCTCTGTTCATACTCAGAAATACTGACCAACGAATCCAAGACATAGAAGTTCTTTGTCTTGGTCTCGAAGACATAGCACCACTAATGACCAACAAATAGAGCAGGACTAAAAATGAAGTCACAATCTGCAATGTTATATCCTAAGTACTTAGGCAGTATTTCTCTACTGTTGTCACCAACAGTCTAGGACCAAGGGTTGTTTACCATTTTTCCCATGAACTCTGAACCAAAAATATGCTTCCTAACTCTGCCTTCATTCTTTTTTTGATCTCCAACCAATGTCCTAGTGACCATTGTCATAAACTAAAATTGGTAGAACAGGATCATAAGAGTAGTAAGTTAATATCCGTACAGTGGCAAAATGATTTCATTGACTATAAATTTCATACCCTATTGCTGATCCATCTAGTTCCACCAAGACATTTAAGCTCAACACGAGTTAGGAAATATCCATATATCTGCACAAAGGTCCTGTTGAAGAAAACAAAAACCATTTGATTAAAAACAAAGTTTTGGTGGTCTGTTTTTTGATCAAGTGTGACAACTTACTTCCCTCCCTTGTCTTCATCATACAATGCTGTGCATATCTGAAATAAACACTCCTTCTCAGCTAGTTTCCTCTTCAAACTAGGTCTGACCTAAGGAGACTTCACGACAAGTCTTTTATACCTTTATGATCTCTTAAGTTCTTTTACTTCTACAATCTGTAGCTCTCTAATCTCTTCCATAGATTCTTTTTCTTCTGCTTCATCATCCTATTTGCTTAACTCTCCTACTTCTCCCTCCACTTCCTTCTCTTCGTCCATACTCTCATGCATAGATTCTGGCTCCTCTTCTTTTCCTACTGCTTCGTTCTTTTGTCCTACATCTACATTCCCTTTAAATTTTTCCTCATCTTTATCTTCATCTAGTTTAGCATCTTCCTCATCTCCTTGCTCACCTTCTTCAAAGCTTTCTTATCAACCTTTTCATCCTTTCCTTCACCTTCTTCATCCTCATCAGCCTTTTTTGAATTATCCTCATTAGCTTCCTCTTCCTCTTCTTTATCCTCCTCTTCAGAATCCTTATGTGCTTCTTCTTCTATTTCATCACCCTCTCTTTGTGTCTTGTCAATATTTTCTAAATCCCGTAGAAGCTTCATTTGTAGATTCATAAGCTCCTCACCAATTGTAGAAACTACTCTTGCATACATCTTCCTTATTTCCTATAAAAAAAATGTGTCAGTAAGAGACAATTGCTACATGAATGCAGGACCACTTTATATACATTCCAAGTGACTAAAAGCACATGTTGGATAAAACTTTGTAGTTTTTCTACCATTTGCACTCATGGGATCATGCAATATGCCTCGAATGCTCTTCCTTTCTACCTTTACCCTTTCAACAACCTTCTCCTCATCCTAATATACAAGGGCATCATCAGGCTTAAGTGCTTCTTCTTGGGCAAGAGGAAAATACTAGAAGCAATAAACCTACATAAATTTTGACACGTTATTTTCAAGATATAATGATCTGTATTCTATCAAATTATAAATTACAACAACACATTTCCCATGAGGAAATAGATGCATCCTCCAACATTCTTCCTTCCAATTATCTTTCCTTTATTGAGTTATTGCTTCCACATGTCCACTTCATTGCATAGTTCATTCAACATATATGTTGCCCAATCATATTTACCAATTCCTTTACATGTTTCATGTATAACCTTTAAA